TTCTGTCACTTTTGAATAACGTAGAGTTACTATGTCACCAAAAACAAAATGGTGACTTATTGTAATATATTTTGAAAAGTGTATGAAAAACAGTGTGTAAATGCTGTGGATAAAGATTTATTATATTGTGGACAATATTATAGCATCCAGAGGATGTTATCCTTTTTATTTATTAGTTAAAAGAATATTATAGAATTTGGTTCTATAGTCAAATCAGTATTAAAATCATGTTTTATATTTTTTTTTTATTTAAATAAAAATTATTATTCATTTGTTGTGGAATGCAGACTAATATATTCGTCTATATATTTCATGTTACAAAATTTACTTAAAAATTATTTTATAAATATATTTTTTTATATAAAATTTACTTAAAAATTATTTTATAAATATTTTTTTTTTTGTCTTTGTTTAATCATGTTTTTATTTTTTATGTATAGAATATTAACCAAATTTATTTTCCAAGACTAGGTAATATTAGGAAAATTCAGAATCACATACAACACAGATTTGGAGGTAAAATTTAGAATTTCAACTCGGCTCATATTTCAATTCCTTTTTATTGAGGAATTTTTTATTTAGATTAATATAAATATTCAAGTCAGTTTATACATATTTTAATTAATTATATAAACCTTGATGTTAAAAATTATATAAATTTTAAATGATCATGAAATTTATAAAACTTGAATTGATGATCTTTAAAGAGTAAATCTAGAATCTAATTAATTTCACTCTGACTAAAATTTTTATCCTTAAGATTTTTTTTTAGATTAATAAAAGTGTCTGGATCAGTTTGTGAGCACCTTGACTAATTTTATAGGTCCTAAAATTAATGACCATGTAAACCTCTAGTAGCCGTAAAACTCAAACTAGTAATATCTAGAGAACAAACCCAGAAATTTAAGTGAAAAATGAAAAAAACCAAACAACAATAAGGCTTGCTTGGAACAACAATACAAGAGAGTTATTAGAGTGAAATTGGGAGAATATATAAATCTAAAAAAACAAATTAAAATTTACACTTGCTTTTTGCTTTTTAAACTACGTTTCTTTTTTATTTAAAAAAGGGTTAAGACATTAAATTTACACTTGCTTTTTGCTTTTTAAATTACGTTTCTTTTTTTAAAAAAAAAGGGTTAAGGCGCTAATGACAAATTATATGCGGTGATTAAGGATGAGATAAAGGAATCCCACTCCATTATAAAATATGCTAAATATATGGGAGGAGGAATAGTGTTGTTTAGAACACTTTATTTTTATTATTATTTAACTTTTTTATTTGTAGTTTTAGTTATATTAACATGGTTTTATATATTGATTTTTTTAACTTGTATTCTCTTGTATATTTAAAATATAAATGAATATTTTGATGATAAACTGAAGATGAATTTTGCGAAATAGAACATTATTTGTAGTAAAAAAATAAAAGAACGACCAAATTTTTCTTAAAAAAACTACCATATACTAAAACATCATGAAGGAGGAATAATGCACTCTTTTCTTTTCTTTTTTTACATTAAAAATTATTTTGGAATCCGTCCACAACGCAACACGAGCCACTGGTATTCTCGATAACGAGTTAGCGGTTGTTGCAAATTTGGTGTTAAGACCTAATAAAAACATTACTTACTAGTCAGCCCGCAGGTAGACCGAAACCAGTGTTGATGAGATATGTTTTCCTCAATTATTTAGTTTTCAATTAATTTAATTTTTATTAACAACGTGCATGCTTGTTAGATGCTATCACCTATCTAGTACAATTACATTTAATTAAAGCACTCTTGAACCAAATCAAATGATTAAAACTAGTTATTTTACTCATGTTATTCAACAATTTTTTAGTAAAAAACATAAATATAAAAGATTTTTAAAGATATTAAAAAAATTAATTATAAATAAAAAATATTTGCATTTAATTAAATATATCGAGAATCTTTTATATTAATAAATATAAATTTGCATTTAATTAAATATATCGAGAATCGTTTATATTAATAAATATAAAAAAATAAAATATTAATTTGTTTAGAATAATTTTTTTCAATAAAAAAATTTATGTGTAAATATTATTAATGTGTTTTTTGATATTAAGTGAAAAATGTAATAATAAATTAAAATTTTAATATTTATATATAATAAAATATGGTAAAAAATTAAACATGTTAATAAAAATATATAAAATCTTAATTTAACCAAGTAGCCAACGAATGAAACAACATTTTATAATCACTACAGTGAAAAAAATCAAACGAATTACAATTATACCTCTTTCAGTTTTATGTATAATAAATCCATTAAATTAATACGTATACCTTATTTATTCTATCCTTTATCCCCACCGTAATCAATACTGTATTGCACAATCTCTATGCTACCCCTCATGAAGGGCTGCTTTTATGAAAATTCAGATTTTATTTCCTGAACAGGAGCACTGTTTAATTAATCGAGGGCACGCAAGGCAAGGATAATTCTGTGTCAAATCTCCATTTATTTCATCAGCTCAGAGTGGCAGATGTCACGCTCACAACCATTTATCATGGCATTATAGAAACTCTTGGTGGGCCATCTGTGATGATTAGAATATGATTAGGAGTGTTGTTGAGATTATTTTTTAAAATGTTTTTTATTTTAAAATAATATTTTTTAAAAATTATTTTTAATATCATTTTATAAAAAAATATTAATTTAAATAAAAAATAAAAAATATATATTATTTTTTAAAAATTTAAAATATAAAAACAAATACGATGTAAATAATAGCAAAACTCCACATTGCGTGGAGGCTTGATCATCGTCAAACGTACCAAACTCCCACTTGTCACGTGCCAACCTGCCCTCATTTCTTGAACTTGATCATAAAAAATTTCGGTTATTCACGTGCATCACCTACCCCCAGCTCACTCTCTCCTCTCATTCTCTTATTTATACCGACCACACTCTGCTTTACGAGGTATAGTATTTCTGTTAGCTAACTCTCTTGAATAGCAGCTCCCACGTCGCCATAATTAAACCAATATCTAGCTAGGGTTCTTCTCGGAGCTTAATATTTATCCCTTTGGGATAATTTTCTTGTTCTAATCCGGCCAAGAAAAGATCAGTATGGTGACCGTCGACGAAGTTCGGAAGGCTCAACGGGCCGAGGGCCCTGCCGCGATCTTGGCTATCGGAACATCAACCCCTCCAAATTGCGTTGATCAAAGCACGTACCCTGACTACTACTTTCGTATCACAAACAGTGAGCATAAGGTCGAGCTTAAAGAGAAGTTCAAGCGCATGTGTAAGCCTTATAACTTATATTTAGCTAACAACACCACCTCGGTATTTAAATTCCATGCTTAATTATATGTTTGTTTGAGGATTTCCGTTTGATAAATTTCCAAAGATTTTCCATGACACCCACACACGTATATATAATCTTGCTTCTGGCAAGTGTAGCATATCATCAAATTTTATACCATAATATGTCTTAATTGATATTGTAAAATATTTATATGAATAATTGGGATCAGGTGTTTTGTTATTAAAGCAACAATTGATATTTTCTATGAGATTATTTAAGAGTCTAGTGGAAGTTATTTTTTAAAAAAAAATTATTTAGAAATACATTAAAATAATATTTTTATTTTTTAAAATTAATTTTTAACATTAACACATTAAAACGATCCAAAAAAAATTAAAGCTAATTTTTTTTTTTTAAATATAGTTAGATCGCAATACCACATAATATCTATATTTGGTTTATATTATAGCTATTTTTTACCTATTTATTTAATTAACTTTAAGTTATATACTCGCCGAAGGTTTCTACATGGATTTTTGGAAATGAAGTTTTGTAGGAGCTAATTAATATCCTCAAAGATATCTAAAACAGTATGTCGTTATTGCTATGAAAGTAGAATTGCCAAAATTGAATTAGAACAGATGCTCTCTAGTTTGTTAAACTAACTAATATATAAGCGAATAGTATTTTCTATATATATTGAAGAGGGAAAAAAGTCACTGTCCCTAGTAATTTTTGGCGTTATCTACACGGATTTTTTCCAATTTTTTTTTAAATTACTAAATAAAACTCCATAAATTCATGGATGCTCTAATTCTGCGTATTGAAGGGTGCAACGGCTGATCATATCCTTTATTTTTATTTTGCCATGTATTTCAGGCGAGAAATCCATGATCAAGAAGAGATACATGCACTTGACTGAGGAGATCTTGAAAGAAAATCCTAGTATATGCGAATACAGGGCACCTTCATTGGATGCTAGGCAAGACATGGTGGTGGTGGAGGTCCCAAAGTTAGGCAAAGAAGCAGCTGCTAAGGCCATCAAGGAATGGGGTCAGCCCAAGTCCAAAATAACCCACTTGGTTTTTTGCACAACCAGTGGTGTTGACATGCCCGGGGCTGACTATCAACTCACTAAGCTCTTGGGTCTCCGCCCATCGGTAAAACGTTTCATGATGTACCAGCAAGGTTGTTTTGCTGGCGGGACGGTGCTTCGTCTAGCTAAAGACCTTGCCGAGAACAATAAAGGTGCTCGCGTGCTAGTCGTGTGCTCAGAAATAACAGCAGTGACATTTCGTGGCCCTAGTGACACCCACCTCGATAGCCTTGTTGGACAAGCGTTGTTTGGTGACGGCGCGGCTGCTATCATAATAGGCGCGGACCCTGTGCCCGCGATCGAGAAGCCTTTGTTTGAGCTGGTGTCTGCAGCCCAGACTATTCTACCCGACAGTGATGGGGCTATAGATGGACATCTTCGTGAAGTTGGGCTTACATTTCACCTGCTCAAGGATGTACCTGGGCTTATTTCAAAGAACGTCGAAAAGAGTCTGACCGAGGCTTTCAAGCCCTTGGGCATCTCGGATTGGAACTCCCTTTTCTGGATTGCGCACCCTGGTGGACCTGCAATCCTGGACCAGGTGGAGGCTAAGTTGGAGCTTAAACCTGAAAAACTGCGAGCCACTCGACAAGTACTGGCCGACTACGGTAACATGTCCAGTGCATGTGTGCTCTTTATTTTGGACGAGATGAGGAAGAAATCTGCCGAGGATGGGCTTAAATCTACTGGAGAAGGGTTGGAATGGGGCGTCCTTTTCGGGTTTGGGCCTGGTCTTACTGTTGAGACTGTAGTGCTCCATAGTGTGGCTACTATCTAGAATCTGCGACTGTTGATTTACATGGTCACCGTGCATTTCCACTTCCATGGCCTTTTTATTTTACTGGTCTGTTCTTCGTTTCTTTTAAAAATTATCTCCTTTTCTATAGCACGTGTTGGGATGTCAATGCTATTTGTGGATCGAGTTTCTACTGTTTTTATATTTTAACTGTTATTTATAGAATAAAAAATGTTAATTTTTATATTATATCCATTAAGCATTGTGTATCCACTCAAATATATATATATATATATATATATATATAAAGATATATATAAAGATGCATTTTAATTAAATTTCAGGTTAGATAATCTAATCATGTGATCCGGAGAGGATATTTTACAGAAGGAAAGTGCTTGCAATCTTTGTTAAAGAGGGTTTTGTAAATGCGTTACAAGGGTAGTTTTATTCTCTCTCTTTGGTAACACTGACAGAGGTAAAGATTGTTATGAACATAATGCTTACCTTGCCAATATATTTCTTTCCAGGAAATTCTTATCATTGGATTTACTGATCCCTTCATTCAATGAATTATATTTTTCGGAAACAATACCACCAATCCACCTAATATTTATCTTAATGGTAAATTTATAAATAAAATCATCTCGAATTAATTTATTTTATAATAATTAACTTTCCATTGGACTCATGCGTTACAGAAATCCACCTGTAACTTAAAATGATTAATCAAATATTATACAAATTTTTAAACACAATTTAGAATAGGCTTACGTACACAACTTACAAATATTAATTAGATAGCTTATATATAAGAATATTAGATAGTTTATATATCTTCTTATATATCAAATGGTACTCTAGTGAATTGCTTTTTTAATTTTTTGAAAAGATAAATTATGTTTAATAGTTACTCTTTATCCTCTTTTCTTTTATATTAGATAAGTAGCTTCTGCGCTATATTATAGGCTGAGTCATAGATTTTTTAATATAAAAAATCATATTTAAGTGATGATAACTTAAGTTAAAATAAATCTATTTAAATAATGCGTGATATAGAATATGACATCGAAATAACCTCGTAGGAAAAAAAGTTAAAAAATCATCAAACTTGAGGCACAATAACCCAAAGTTAAATAATAAAATTCAAAAAAAAAAATTCAAAAACATAACATCAAAGAAAACACCTTCAATCAACATGAGTTAACTTGATAAATTTTTGACCTGTGATATGAGATAGAGATTAAAAAAAATTAATTTTTTTCTTAAAGGCCAATGTCAAGCAAAAAGAAACGCTAGAAAAAAAAAACTGAGTTAATTCGAGTTAACTTGATTAATATGCACTCGAGATGACAACACAACATAAGAAAAAAAATCAAAAAATCAAAAAGCTCAAAAATTAATAATTCAATGTTAAATGATAAAATTAAAAAATAAAATTAATTTAATAAAACCCTTAATCAACCCGGGTTAACTCAATCATTCCACCTAGGATAAACTCACAGAAAGGAAAGTGGGATAAATAACGAAGCTCAAGACATAAAAATCCAATTTCGAATGATAAAATTGACACACACACACACACACACATATATATATATATGAAGGACCTAAAAACAAGAACTAACTTAAATCATGCTAATATATGAAACTAGAGACTCAAGTTAAGAGATAAGGATTACTTTGTTGAAAGGCAAACATACAAATGTTCTAAAGTAAGTTTTCCGGTCATAAAATTTAGGTCACCAACCTAATAGAATCAGGTTTGGTTTTATTTTAATTATGAGATAAAAATATTAGCAACAACAATATATAGACCAAATTAAAAAAAAATGATCACGATAATTTGAGAATAAAATATTTTTTCAAAGGAAAAAACGATATAGCTCAATTATATCCCATTAAATACAGAAAGATAAAATTAGGTGAAAAAAATCCCTAAAACAATTGATCTGATTCAAATGGAGTTAGCATGAAAAACTCGTAACTTCGATAAGTAAGGTTGAGCCAACTCAGGTTGTTCCATCAAACTCATGGTCTAAGTTATAAAATCAAAATAACTCGATAGAAAAGAAAACAATAAAAATCACAAAGATCATTTTTAAAAAAAATAAAACAATGTCAACTTGTGTTAACTTTTTAAATTTGTGATTTAGGTCTCTACATCGAAAACATCCTATCTAAAAAAACCACAAAACCCAATTCATAATCAATTAAATATTAAATGATAAAATTAAAAAAAGAATTTCAATTACATAAACCGACTTAAGACAAAAAAAAATAGAAAATAAAAGAACAAAGATCAAAATTAAAATACAAAATAATTTTGATCTTTGATTGAAATGTGAGACTTAAAAGAAAAATCAATTTAACCAAAAAAAATGAGGATCAAATTTGAAATAAGATATACAAACAAAATTTTCATTGAAGGGTAAAATTGAAAATAAAAATCAATTTAGCAAAAACCCAAAAAAAAGTCAAAAGAATGAAGATGAAATTGAAAAAATAATATATAATAAATTGTGATTGAATGATAAAAATCAAAACAAAAAAGCCTTTTGTAGAAAGGCCAAGAATAAAAATTAAAAATTAAAAAATAGGGATTAAAAATGAAATACCAACTATAAAGAGGGTGAGATAGTAATTTTTAGAGGAGGAGGGAGAAAAAAAATAACTCATCAGTTATCAATCACCCCACCAATACCAATACGCACCGCAAAAGTAGAAAGACATGACAATAATTCTAGCAAAACAGTAAAAAAGTATTGTCTACTGTTGGGAGCCATCACATACTTTGTCTACAGTGCATGAGTGCCTCCCACATGCCTGCACCTTTTTCCTATTAATAGAATGTTTAATCTATGAAAAAGCCTGCATAACCCTTCATGCTCGTGGACACATGTTTTATTTTTTTATTTCAATGGTAAATTGTTATTTTAATGTGTTTGAAAGGCTGAAAATGCATAAATTTCCTTTCTTTTCAGTTCCAAAAATATTGAATTTAATAGGAATTCGGTCATTTTACTATACTTGAAAAAAATATGTAACCCTAATCAATTCGTTAATTACTAATAGGCTCTCGAAAAATTTCAACACCCAAGATCAAGGCATTTGACTTTTTATGAAAGGAAAAGGCATCATTATACTATTCTGGTAAATAATGCAAATAAGTGTCTATAGTGTTTTTCAATGTCCTCTTAGCTTTTGTTAATAAAATTTAATTTTTTACATCCACCCACATTTAATTTTTTTTACTATGCATCTTTCTCTAACCAAGTCACATTTTCTTTTTGTATTATTATTAACATATGTTTGATAATGTAATAGTTTTTGTGATTATATTTTTTAAAAATTAAATTTTAGAAAAGCTATAAATTATAATCTTTTCATAAACAAGGTTTCAAGAGAGAGTTTTTAGTTATATCCATTAAAAATTATGGTATATGTTGATTAACTCAACACTTAAAATTATAATTAGAATAAAATGCAATTTTAACTACACTTCACAGTAAATTTTTATTGGAAAAAAAAATCTAAAAATATAATACTCCTTTATGCTATTTGGAGTAACTTTATCTATTCCAATAAACAGGAGCAAGTATTATCTTGTGCTTATAGGTTCTAATTTATTGGGATCACTTACCAATTATATCTTTTGAGACCAGTGTTAGAAGGTTATTGTTGGTATACTAATTCTCACTTTTTCTTAATTAAGTTTATTTATTTTCTTTTTATTTTATTGGTTTTAATGTACTTACTTTTTCAAAACTCTATTAAAATCTTTGTCAAGCAGAGAAGAGATTTCATTACTAGTGCACTAAATTTGAAATGGTCAGAGTTAAAAAATACATAATCAAAAAACAGAAAAATTAACACAGTTTAGATAATTGTACTTAATTAAAAGTTCTTAAAGTCAGCAAATAAAAAATAATCAAGACCAATATAGTTTATTAAAAAAAGACAGCAGAAGAAAGAGGAGGAAAAGGTTGTATACTATTGCGTGTGATATTTATTGAATCGAGCTTCTGAGTTGTATAGATTTACAACTATTATCTTTACGAGCTATAATTAATCAATACTCAGTACTGTCCCATACCTTTTAAATTTTTTCTATTATTATTATATTATTATATTATAATTATGATAATATAAGTTTCCCCGTACTTTTTTGACTTTTTCTATTATTATTATTATTATTATTATTATTATTATTATAATAAGATATACTAAAAAACATGAGTTGTCTTCTTTTTTTATTTTAATTATTTTTTGTTTTGTATGCCTTTATGGTTTTTTTTTTGCTTTTTTTTGTGTTTTTTATTTTGATGAATTTTTTTTGTTTAATTTAGCTTGTTAATGTTGATTTTTTATTTATTTAGTTATCAGATTTTCATGATAAAGATTCCGAGTTTAACTGGTTAAAGTGATTTGACAAGTTAACCTGAATTTTTTTCTTTTTAATTAGTTTTTTTTTTTAGTTTAGTTTTTTAATGTTAATTTTTTTTATTTAATTATTAGACTTTCATTATACCTATCCTGGGTTTGAAGGGTTAACCAAGTTAATTCTAGATTAACTAGTTAATTTTTTTTATTTAATTATCATTTTTTTATGAAGTAAATATCAGGTCTGACATATTAACTTGGTTTAAACGGTTAACCCAGTTAATTCAAAAAATTTTCTTTTTATTCATTAGTTTTTTTTTATCGGTTTTTTTATTAATTTATTTAATTATTATACTTTTATGACACGACCTTGCAGCTAGACTCACATCCAATGCTCTAGAGTCCGCTGTTGTAGGCAGATTCCTTAAACTTGAGTCATGTAAGTTTAATATTATTATTACTATTATAAATATTACTATTGGGTCAAGTGTTGTAGCTAAACCCAAGACTTTTGAGTATATCTTTGCAGAAAGACCTAACACTCTTGGATCTTAGTATTTTTTTGATATTTTTATGCAAGAAAAAAAAATTAATCCGTGATGTATGTCTTTGTTTTTTCCTTCTTTTTTTTCCCTTTTTAAGTCTTTTACTGTGGACTGCATCGCGCAATCCACAACGAAAAAACTTATGTATTTAGTTTATTTTTTTGTTTATAGTTTTTTAATATTATTTTTTTTGTTATTTAATTATCAGACTTTCATGACAAAGGTCCCAGGTTTGATGGGTTAATCTGGTTTTTGACAGATTAACCCAGTTGATTTAGATTTTTTTTCTTCATTAGTTTTTTTCTTCTTGTAGCTTTTTTTATCCTTGCTTTTTCCTTTTTAATTAATCTTTTTTATTTAGTTCATTAATATTAAATCTTTTTTTTATTTAATTATCACATTTTCATGACATAAATTCCAGGTTTGACAGGTTAACCCAGTTAATTCAGATTTTTTTCTTTTTTCACATTAGTTTTTTTCTTTCGATTTTATCTTTTAATACTGTATGCAATTCACAATAAAAAGGATGATGCCTTTAAATTGTTTTTTTTTTCCCGTTCACTATGAACTGCATAGTGCAGTTTACAGTGAAAAGGCTGATACTTTTTTTAATTAATTTTTTATTATTTTGTTGGTGTTAATTTTTTTTATTTATTTATCAAACTTTCATGACATGTATTTTGGGTTTGATAGGTTATACCAGTTGATTTAGACTTTTTTCTTTTCTTTTTCTTTATTAGTTTCTTTCTTTTTATAATTTTTTTCTTTTTTTAATTAATTTTTTTCATTTAATTTAGTTTGTTAATGTTTAATTTTTTTTATTTAGTTATCAAACTTTTATGACACGGATTCCGGGTGTGACGTGTTAACTTGGTTTGACGGGTTAACCCAATTAATTCTGGTTAACGCGTCAATTTATTTTTCTTTTTAGTTATCAAATTTTCACTACAGGAATCCAAGGTTTAACGGGTTAATCTGTTTTGAATGGTTAACCCAATTAATTTAGATTTTTTTTTCTTTTTCTTTATTTTTTTTTTTAATTATCATATTTTTATTACACAACTTTACAACTAGATTCATATCCAAGGCTATTAGGTCTATTATTGCAGTCAGACCCACCTAAACTTGGGCCATACAAGTTTAATATTATTATTAATATTATAAATATTACTCTTAAATCAGGTGTTGCAGTCAAACCCAAGACTCTTGGTTATAACTTTATATAAATACTTAATATTTTTAGATTTTAATTTTTTAGATATTTTTTATATAAAAAAATTAACTCACGACATCGCGTGGATCATATAACTAATCATTAGGGAAGGGATGTTGCTTGCGCACCACGGCCATAGACCAAAGCATAAATTCGCCCAGGAATTCATGATATGTCTATAGTTTGTTCACCTATAAGACCTTGCCGACAAAGATTATGCAAGACTTTCCTCGTGATGGGGGTATTTAATAATAGGATTGTAATTATTTTTTAAAGTATTTTTTTTATAAATATATTAAAATAATATTTTTTATTTTTAAAAATTTATTTTTTATATCAATATATTAAAATAATCTAAAAAATTAAAGAAATTAATTTAAAATATATAAAATAAAGTTTACATTTAAATATTTTTAAAATACAAAACTGATTGCAAATAACCTTAAGCACAACCACTTCCACTTACCTGCCAAGGCTTAATCACTTGGGCCTCTTGCAGTAAGAAACTCAAGAAGGATAGAAAATTAATAGATGGCCATTTCCACAATCTTTCTCTTAGCATTTTGAAATTTTCTCATTTCTTAAAAAAACTTGCTAATTTAAGTTTTTTCAAAAAAATATTTTTTCTTATTTCTTAGATTTTTCAAAAAAAAAATGATGGTTGATTGTTTTACTTTTTCCCCTAAAGATCTATAATTTTTTCAAAATAAATTATTACTTTTTTTACTTCCTAATTCCTACACATATAAATAATTTCCATTAAGATTTCTCTAAAAATCAAGATCCTTTGAGATATATTAGTTGTTGTACATATAGAATTTTATTTAGTGTTCAATTTTTCAAAATTTTATTCAATTGGGTTGATTAATAAAATTCTATATATACAGCATGGGATGTGACCAAATCTTTCTTTGCTAGAGTTCATTTGTCAAAATTGATGCATAATAAGGGGCTATTCTTGCACCTTAAGCCAATTTTTGATAGCTAAATGCCAAGAAAATCCACATCACGTCACATGCCATGCCAAAAAAATGTGAGAAATACTAAATAATAATATTCTTGTCACCCTGAAACTTTCCGTAAGCTGTGATGTGCCATTACAGCCAGCATTCAATATGGAGTCACTGGTAGACTGGTTAGAAAGGCATTTATAAAGCACGTGAGCATCTCAGCTAACCCTTCTTTATACTTGTAGTTGGAACAAGATCCCAGCTAACCTCGCGCTATCTGTGCTTTTACTCTATATAAAAGCCACATTCTCTTCGAACTTCTCAAACGCATCCTATCTAGCTCTCGCAGCAGCTACCTAGCTAGGCTACTGTTGTGGTGATTCGTGTGATTTAATTTCTTTGTAATCTTTTCCACCGAAAAAAATAATGGTGACCGTTGATGAAATTCGGAAGGCGCAGAGGGCAGAGGGCCCTGCCACCATCTTGGCCATTGGAACATCAACCCCTCCGAATTGTGTTGATCAATGCACCTATCCTGACTACTATTTTCGGATCACAAACAGCGAGCATAAGGTGGAGCTTAAAGAAAAGTTCAAGCGAATGTGTAAGACTGACTTGTGATCATTAAGCTATTGGCATTTCCATTACACAGATATTACTTCATGATCATTTTTCTTTAGAGATAATTTCATCGCCTTGCTTGTTCTTACAGCTGCTAGATCATGTCCCATAATTCAGTTCTGAGAATCTAGTTACCCGCCAAGGATTCCTCCATAGATTTTGGAAATGATATATAGGATCGGGAGCATCGTGGAATTAATTTAGATGGCTAAATCGCGTGCCCTTTCTTGAGGAATACTCGTGAAAATAAAATTTGTCCAAATATATGTGAATTAGTGATGAGTGAAAAACATTTCCTATAAAAAAATTATCTTGGCCTTTGGTAATTTTGGGGCGTTATTGCACTTTAATATTCCATCCTTGAAAGAAAAACCAGCGATGTCCTGCTTGTCGTGCTAGATATTTATGAAATTTTATTTTGCCATGTATTTCAGGCGAGAAATCCATGATCAAGAAGAGATACATGCACTTGACCGAGGAGATCTTGAAAGAAAATCCTAGTGTATGCGAATACATGGCACCTTCATTGGATGCTAGGCAAGACATGGTGGTGGTGGAGGTCCCAAAGTTGGGCAAAGAAGCAGCTGTCAAAGCCATCAAGGAATGGGGCCAGCCCAAGTCCAAAATAACCCATTTGGTCTTTTGCACAACCAGTGGTGTTGACATGCCCGGGGCTGACTATCAACTCACTAAGCTCTTGGGTCTCCGCCCATCGGTAAAACGTTTCATGATGTACCAGCAAGGTTGTTTTGCTGGCGGGACGGTGCTTCGTCTAGCTAAAGACCTTGCCGAGAACAATAAAGGTGCTCGCGTGCTAGTCGTGTGCTCAGAAATAACAGCAGTGACATTTCGTGGCCCTAGTGACACCCACCTCGATAGCCTTGTGGGTCAAGCGTTGTTCGGCGACGGCGCGGCTGCTATCATAATAGGCGCGGACCCTGTGCCCGCGATCGAGAAGCCTTTGTTTGAGCTGGTGTCTGCAGCCCAGACTATTCTACCCGACAGTGATGGGGCTATAGATGGACATCTTCGTGAAGTTGGGCTTACATTTCACCTGCTCAAGGATGTACCTGGGCTTATTTCAAAGAACGTCGAAAAGAGTCTGACCGAGGCTTTCAAGCCCTTGGGCATCTCGGATTGGAACTCCCTTTTCTGGATTGCGCACCCTGGTGGACCTGCAATCCTGGACCAGGTGGAGGCTAAGTTGGAGCTTAAACCTGAAAAACTGCGAGCCACTCGACAAGTACTGGCCGACTACGGTAACATGTCCAGTGCATGTGTGCTCTTTATTTTGGACGAGATGAGGAAGAAATCTGCCGAGGATGGGCTTAAATCTACTGGAGAAGGATTGGAATGGGGCGTCCTTTTCGGGTTTGGGCCTGGGCTTACTGTTGAGACTGTGGTGCTCCACAGTCTGCCTGCCGCAATTTAGAAGCTGCTTCTGTTGATTTACAAGGTCACCGTGCATTTCAACCTTCACGGCACTGTTTTTCTTCAATTTGGTTTTATTTTCTTTTCCCTCCGTACCTTTTTTATTCGAGCTTTCTCTCTTCTGAGAGAGCCAGAAGTGTGGAAGAGATCAAAATTGTTGTGTCTTGCTTTACCTTCATAATAAATTGTATTTGAAAAGCTCTGTGAACAGTTAATTTTATGATCGTACCACCGGTACTACAAATCAAAACCTATATTTCTTATCATGTCGCCTCGAAGAGACAGCGTGCCTGTAGTGCTGTTAACCTAGGATTCCAGTGTTGAGAATAAAACCTCAGTGCATGTTGGGAATTTGGAAGCATGCATATTCCAAGGAAGGATCTCTTTCTAATATTCCCTTCGAATCACACAGCATTGATTAATCAAAGCATTGTTTTTGTTGGTGGAATCGGTTTCTATGAGAAACTGTTTTCTACCTTTCATCGAATTATCTTTTCAATTAAATATATTTTAATTTTATATTTATTTTTTATCTTAAAACACTAACCACTCACCATCTTTACAGTTCTCATGCTCACAAACAAACCAAATTCAGATCATTGTCACAGAAAAATTAAACTACAAAAAAGATTGTTCAGAGATACAAGGGAATAATTAGAGATCACTTTCAAGGGGGACAAAATCATGTTGATTAAGTAACTCATTCACAAAGGTCAGAGACTGGATAAAAAGGTGTATGCATATAATGGAAGAGATGCTCATTTGACTGTGTGGGAAATTCGTCTAAAGGGCATTGGCATAATCATAATATGGCAATCGAGTGGTTCTCCTGCCCTCTCTCAACGTTATGCTAGTTTCATTTTCAGGTAAGGTTTACTGTTTTATTTGATTGAGAGGGCTCTTGCTTTATACTTCTCCACAGTAAGACAACAGGCTCCTTTTTCTTTCTCTTTCGGAAGATAACATGCGAGTAGTGCTATCTTGCCTAGCATTTTCATGGAAATCGCTTAAAGGTCTCTGTATATTATATGGAACAGGTGGCCGGATCCATCAATTTAATAATTGAGGTTTGAGGTATTTTTAAAACAAAATTAGCATACTTGCAGTACAACTTTTAAGCGAAGTGGCCGGATCCATCAATTTAATAATTGAGGTTTTCTTCTTCTTCTTTTTTCCTCCACCGACAACCATCCTTATCATAGCCTGAGTCGCCATTCTTACATAATCCCCTCACTTTTTCTATCATCAATTGGCCACCAAGCAGCCATCAAGACTCTCTCCCTCTTTTCCTTAACATTTTCTCTCATCTGCAACTTTTTCTTCTTTCTTTTTTAGTTGTAGTCGCTCCAGCCAACTCCACCGTATTTTTCACCGCCGACTTCAGGTCATCCTCCCCACTAGCCAGCCATCACCGCCACACCAGATGATTTGCTACTCTTCCGCTGGTTCTTCATCTTTCTCATTAGAGTTTCACTATTTTGAATAGTGGAACGTGAATTACAATTCATGTCCGCAGTTCATGCAAGGGGACAATGCTATCTTTTTTTTTTTTTTAATTTAAAAAGTTTTTAAAAAATTATTTCAAAAAATTGTGATTTTCTCACATATTTTTCTATCAATTTTGTATAATATCGGATAATGTATTCACACTATAAAATACAAATTTGGTATTAAAATACTCAGTTACCTCTGAAATTATTAAAAAATTCAAAATATTTTCAAAAAAAAATCTCAAAAAAATTTTAAATCAATTTCCATTTTCAAAAAAATAAAAAAATATTTTGTTGTATATGGCCAAATCCTGAAATTTTTCGAAGCATATTTTTCATAAAAAACAAAAATTATATTTTTTTCATGTTAAAAAAATCTAAAAATGGATATCGTAACTAGTTTATGATTATCCATTAGAATTTGGCCAATATGTCAAAAATCTTTTTCCAATCTTTTTTTTTTTAATGCAGATGTAGACTTTAATATCTGTGGAGTGTAAAATTACATGATAAAGTACATCCTCAGGCATTAAAGATATAAGATGTAAATAAATACGATGCTAAAATTCAGACTTTAGAATAGTTAGAATTTTATCAAATAAGTTAGAGACTCTCTCACGAAGATAAATTTATCTTGAGCTTTAGAAAAGACTAATAGATACCCAACTCATAAAAAAATAGTAATGAGCCTTAGAAAAGACTAATAGATACCCGACTCAGAAAAAAATAGTAAAATAACAATGTAGCTTACCTTAGGTAGGGTGCATTGGAGGGGATGTGTCTTTCTCTTGCACAGCAGTCCCTTACTTAGACTCTCGTAGGCCATAGGTTTCTAGTGACTATAATACTAGGTGACGACTCCTAAACATTAATAATAATTTTACGGTGAAATCCAAAACCCTTTCCAACATATAATACCTCATATAGGAGGCACGACAACAGCCTCAGTCGTCGTTAGATGACATCGCGCCGGCTTGCATCCCGCGACAATGATAATTTATTTTGTAATAATTAACTTGCTATTGTGCTCATGCGTTACAAGAATCCACCTGTAACTTAGAATGATGAATCAAACATTATACAAATTTTTAAACGCAATTTAGAACAGTTTAGGAGATTTTATATAGGCTTATGTACACAACTTATAACGATTAATTAGATAGTTTATAAATCTTCTTACATATCAAATGGTATTCGAGTGAATTGCTTTTTTCATTTTTTGAAAGGATAAACTATGTTTAACAGCTATTCTTTATCCTCTTTTCTTTTATATATTAGATAGATAGCTTATACTACGTTATAGGCTGAGTCAAAAAAATTTCAATACAAAAAATGATATTCGAGTGATGATAACCCGAGTTAACACAATTCTATTTAAATAAGACATGATATGGGATATGACATCGAAATAATCTCGCATAAAAAAAAAGTTAAAAAAATCTTTGAACTCAAGGCCAATAACCTAAAGTTAAATAATAAAATTGAAAAAAAAATCAATTTCAAATAACATAACATCAAAGAAAGCACTCCCAATCAACATGAGTTAACTTGATAAATTGATCACTTGCGATATGAGATAGAGATTATAAAAATTAATTTTTTGCTTAAAGGTCAAAGTCAAGGAAAAAGAAATGCTATAAAAAAACAAAGTTAACTCGGGTTAACTTGATTAATCCGCACTCGAGATGACAACACAAGAAAAAAAAAGCGGAAAAACCATAAAACTTAAAAATCAATAATTCAATATTAAATGATAAAATTAAAAAAAATTAATTTAATAAAAAAACCCTTAGTAAACCCGAGTTAACTCAACTTTCCCACTACCTCGGATAAACTCACAAAAAAGAAAGTGGGATAAATAATGAAGCTCAAGACACAATAACCCAATTTCAAATGATATATATATATATATATATATATATATATATATAAAGGATCTAAAAAAACAAGACCTAACTTAAATTAGGTTGATATATGAAACTAGTGACTCGAGTCAAGAGATCAGGATTACTTCGTTGAAAAGCAAACACCAAAAAGTTGCATAGTAAATTTTCCGGTCATAAAATTTAGTCACCAACCTAATAGAATCAGGTTTGGTTTTATTTTAATTATGAGATAAAAATATTAGCAATGATAACATATAGACCAAATTAAAAAAAAAAATGATCATGATAATTTGAGAATAAAATATTTTTTCAAAAGAAAAAATGTTAGAGCTTAATTCTCATACCATCAAGGATAAAATTAGATGAGAAAAGGCCCTAAAAAATTGATTCGATTTAATTGGAGTTAGCATGAAAAACTCGTAACCTCGATAATTAGGGTTGAGCTAACTCAGGTTAGCCCATCAAATTCATGTCTAAGTTATGAGATCAAGATAACTCGATAGAAAAGAAAATAATAAAAATCATAAAGACCATTTAAAAACAAAAAAATAAAATAATATCAACCTGTGTTAACTTTTCAAACTTATGATTTGGCTCTCTATATTGAAAACATTCTATCTAAAAAACCATAAAACTCAATTCATAATCAATTAAATGTTAAATAATAAAATTAAAGAAAGAATTTCAATTATATAAGCTGACTTTAGATAAAAAAAAAAAGAATAAAGATTAAAATTGAAATACAAAATAAATTTGATTTTTCATTGAAAGGTGAGATTTAAAATAAAAGTCAATTTAATAAAAACAAAATGAGAATCAAATTTGAAATAAGACATACACACAAAATTTTGATTAAAGTGCGAAATTAAAAATAAAAATCAATTTAGGAAAAGATGAAAAAAAGTCAAAAGAATAAAGATCAAATTGAAAAAATAATATATAACAAATTAGAATTGAATGATAAAATTTAAAACAAAAAAAACTTGTGTAGAAAGGCTAACAATAAAATTTAAAAATTAAGATTAAAAATGAAATATCAACTATAAAGAGGGTCAAGTGGTAATTTTTAAGGGAGGAGAGAGAAAAGAAGAAAAAAAACCTATCAATTACCAATTACCCCACCAATATTGATATGCATCGCAAAAATAAAAAGCCATGACGACAATTCTAGCAAAATAGTAAAAAATTATTTTTTGTTGCTAAGAGCAGTCGCACACTTTGTCTAAAGAGTGCATAAGCACCTCCCATATGCCTACACCTTTTTTCTATTGATATAATATTTAATTTATAAAAAAGACAACATAACCCTTCATGAAATTGATGATAGCAAAATAAATCATAGTGAAAAAACTTGAAAAACTTGTGGACACATGTTTTATTTTATGATTTCAATGTTATTTTAATGTGTTTGAAAAGGCGAAAAGGCATAAATATCCTTTCTTTTTAGTTCCAAAAATATTGAATTTAATGAAAATTCATTTTTCTATACTTAAAAAAAAATTCCTAATAAATTCTTTAATGGCTAATGAGCTTTGAAAAAAGATCTAAACCCGAAGATCAAGGCATTTGAATTTTTATTGAAGAGAAAAGCATCATTACATTGTTATAGTGAATAATGCAAATGAGCATATGTCTATGGTGTTTTTTAATATTCTGTTAGTTTCTGTTAATAAGTTTCATCTTTTTTTATCCATCCATATTTTGTCTTTGTTTGACTACGCGTCTTCTTTAACCAAGCTTTTTTTTGTGTATGTGTTATTAATACGTGTTTGATATTATAACAACTTTTGCGATCATGTTTTCTAAAAAGTAAATTTTAAAA